GGATATAGGTGCGGTAGTTTTGGTGACATGCAAAATCTGTGAAACTCACTTATAAGTGCATGCACCTATAAGAGGGGTAATACGGTAATAATGGTATAACTGCTGAGGTTGTTTTTATTATGATTAGTAATAAAAGTTTCAAATTAATTTATTCGAAAACAATTATAATTTATGATATTAATTATGATATACTTTGGTATATTATTGAATTTAAAAGTTATATTATTATTAATTTTATTATTATTTTTTATGAATTCAAATTAATAACACATATAATCTAAAATCACTTTAAAATCACAATTTAAATAACAAGTAAGTAACCAGTTTAAACTTATCCACACTTTTCATAATAATCATAGCGTTGGACAGATATCAAGTGGTGGTCAATCCTCTAACAGCCCGATTAAGTGCTTGATTGCCAAAACATATTATGGTAATAAGCATTTGGGTTTCATCGGGTGTGCTGTCTATATCACACGCTGTGTTCAACTGATCGGTACCCCTGTATACATATCGGACAATATACCGGTGCCGTACGGTATGCCCCGAACCCCAACTATTCTACCGACAGTTATTAACAATTATTACGTTTGTGACCCAATACATGGCACCGCTTGGTACAACAATTATCATATATTTGGTGATCTCGTTGAAAATATTTTGTAAAGTATGTGTGAAAAACATATGAACTATTTAATATTACATAATTAATTGAATAATTAAATTAAAAAACCTCTTGAGCAGCTGCTACCCATTAGTGTATTATATAAATTTAAGTGAATGATATAATTTAGATTACTAAATTGATTTACAGTTTTGTGTGTAATATAGATTTATTATAAGTAAGTTTGAAATTATAATCACATGACTGTAGAATAAATTTAATGTTAATAAATGGTTTACACACTACTACTTTTTATAATTTTAAAATTTAATATTAATTATAATTGTAATAATTTTTCGCCAAGATTATTTTAGATGATTGGCCGTTTGATAGTTGCATTTTAGCCTCGTTTATACTTTTATGTAATTCCTTTAAAATTACATATTTATTTTACAAAATATATTAACAAAATATATTAATTAAATAATTTACCACTCAACTATGATTAAAATAAATACAATATTTTGCCAACAGAATATTTTGTAAATTATGGTGTGTTCATAAATTAGTTATTAATAATAAAAGAATGATAATTCAAGAAGATGTATTAACACTAATATTACAATCATCACATTACCCGTCATAATCATTACATTTATTAAAATTAAAGACATGTCTACCACAAATATTACAGAAGAAACATTATTTATTGTATGGTTAAAACAGTTGTTTAAACACAGCGACAATGGCTATAATATTACAACATCAGGCGATATTAAACAAATTAATGCCACAATAGTTACAGAATTGCGGACAATATTCCGGAAAATTATGGCACAAAATGCCGGCGCCAGCAATAAATACCCCGATCTAGTTAGGGAGAGAGCCATAAAAAACACCCTGATAATATTGGCATATACCGTGATTATTATAGTATCCCTGTTGGGTAATGTGTTGATATGCAAAGTGATTTTAAGCGGTTCGGTTAATAGGCGCCGTACCACCAATGTATTGATTGCCAATTTGACCATATCCGATTTGGTAATGACAGTGTTTACTATACCTGTCACTATCGCCAGGCTCATTTTAGATGATTGGCCGTTTGGTAGTTGGTTGTGCATATTAGCGCCGTTTGTTCAGGTATTTAAAGTATTTGTGATGATAGTTAATATTATTTTTGTTTTTATAAAATATAAATACTGTAATTATGCATTATAAAATTATATTACCCTATTATAAGTGTTACTAATCATTACCAATGGAATAACGTAAATTGGAAGTAGTTTTCAATATATTTTTGTTTTATATTAAATTTTAAAAGTAACTGTAATTTTAACTAATAAATAATATATTACTTTAAGAATTATAATTTATTTCTATGTTTGGTTTGTATTTAAATCTATTGTTGGATTTTGAAAATTATTGGATTGATTTATTAATTTATCAAATTAAATAATAAGATTAAATATATTTCAAATTGAAACAGTATAATTGATTAAAAGATAATATAATTTATAATATATGATTGTTAATTATTTTTATAAACTGTGAGTGCAATAATTTGTGTTTTTTATAATGGTAAACTTGTAATTATTTTTAAATAATGGCAATTGCTATTATTGATAACAAGCTGTAATTATAAAATAAAATTTTTATATATACATAATTATACATTTGGTTATATTTTTTATTGGCATAATTATACCATATGTGATAATTTTTACATACATGTATTTGTATAAATTATGTTTGCTGTGTATTTATTTTTGTCATTCGTAATTATTACTTTTAAATTATTAAATAATATAGTTATATTATATTGCAGAGTGTTGCATTTAATATACGACCCCCCATTTATAATGTATAATTCCTATACGGTTTACACAAATGTGTAAATCAAACCAGTGAAGGTTATATATATTATTAATTATAAAATTACTATAAAAATTTAATTTTATAAAACTGTAATATATTATAATGTGCCTTTTTTGGTTTAACAAAATAATTCACAATTAATATTAATGGAGATCAGTATCTAAACACTTATTTTTCTAAATATAAGTTATATTATAATATAATGCACTTAAAATTTAAATTATGTTTGATTTAAACTTATCTAATTTTTATGTAATCTTTATAATTAATAAGCATTATAATCAAGCAATAGTACTCATTATACCTAGGTGACCAGTGTATACGTATCGACATTATCCATGATTATCATAGCGTTGGACAGATATCAAGTGGTGGTCAACCCTCTAACAGCCCGATTAAGCGCTCGATTGCCAAAATATATTATGGTTATAATCATATGGGTTTTAGCGGGTGTGCTGTCTATACCACACGCAGTGTTCAACCGATCGGTACCCCTTTATACCTATCGGACAATATACCGGTGCCGTACGATATACCCGGTACCCCAACTATTCTACCGACAGTTATTAACGATTGTTACGTTTGTGACCCAATACATGGCACCGCTTGTTATAACGATAGTCACCTACGTGGTAATCTCGTTGAAAATATTTTGTAAAGTATGTATGAATTATATTTTAATATAGACATGAAATCAGTGCAATTTTGTATATTAATCCGAGAGAACAAAAAACTTAATTTTATATTCAATTAATATTTGATTTATTGAATGATTCAATGCTTTGTTGAACACAACTTTAATATTGCTAATATAATAATTTGTGTTTTGTTATGTAACTAATGCACCAAAATAGCATTGTTATGATGTCTTTACAAATAAATTATTATACATTACAAAATTAAATGTATATTTAATTAATAAAACTTAGTCGAACTCTACCTCGGCAGCCATTAGCGTATTTACAAAGTTTAACTGAATAATTTATTTTAGATTAATAGATTAATTTACAGTTTTATGTTTAATATTTAAATTATATTAAAATGTATAGTCTTGTATACCTGTATAAAGCTTTATGATAAAAACACTATTGTAAACATTATATACCGGTGCCGTATGGTATACCCCGAACCCCAGCTATTCTACCGGCAATTATTAACGATTACAATAGATGGCTTGCTATAACAATTGTTGCCAATGTGGTGATTTTGTTGAAAATATTTTGTAAAACATGTGTTAATGATAGATTGATTATTATATATTACATAATAAAATTAATATAACAAGTGTGAACTATGGCCATCAGCATATTAGCTAAGTTTAAATGAATAATATATTTTAGATTAATAAATTACTTTACAGTTTTTCTTGCTTGAAAACATATAATTTATTTTATTCATTATATAAAAAGTTAATAAATTTTTTACATGGCCCTAATTAAACATTGGGTAATATTTTATATTGGTCACTTTTTTAAAAATTATTATTCATCCGTGTTTACTATACCAGTCACAATAGCCAAGCTCATTTTAAATGATTGTCTGTTTGTTTAGATATTTGAAGTACAGTAATTATTAGTCGCGACAATGCATAATATTTTGTATTTCTATGTTACAATATTTTAATTATAAGTTTCTATTATATAATCTGTATACAATTATCGCTAATTATTAGTATTAAACTATAACAATGAATAGATTAAATAGAAATAATTTATGATAATATTTATTTTAAATTAATTTTACAAATTTCAACTGTAGTTATAAATTAAAAATAACTTATTTATTTTAGAAATATAATCTATTTGTATTTATGGGGAGACATTGTGTTTGATTTTTTGAATTAGTAAGTTGTTTTACTAATTTATAAAATTAAATAGCAAGATTTTTAATATATAATTTTAGTATTTTTAAGTTTGTATAATGGATACAAAAGAGATTTTAATTACGTGTTTTAATAATTACACGACCCTTTAAAATTATTGTTAATCATTAACAATGGAATACTTAACTAAATAAAAATTGTCTACAATATTTTTTTTGTTTTAATTTAATTTTTGAATTTAAACTATAACTAAAAATTTATATCTTGATATTACTTTAAGAATTGTTATTTATTTCTATTTTTGGAAAATATGATCGCAATGAATTATATATTATTTGATTATTTGAATTATTGAGTTGTTTTTACTAATTTGTCGAATTAAATAATAAGATAATAAATATATTTATAATTAAGACTGTATTATTGATTTAACTATAACATAATCAATGAAATATAATTGCTAATATAATTATAAATGTTAAATATTTTTGTTTTATATCGTGTAAAACTTAAAATTAGTATTTATCAAATAATTCTTAATGATTATTATTGATAACAAGCTGTAATTATAATTAAATGTTTACATGTTTCTAATTTTACATTCCGTAATTTTGTATATTTGGCTATTAGCAAATAATTGACTAATTATTAAAGATTTAAATAAGGAATTTTTTGTTTTTATTTATTAATTTTATTTTTTAGTGACTATTGTAGTGGTCAGAGTAGGAATAACCATTACGATAAAAATATAAATCAATGATAATAACAATATTAATGATGGTCAGAATAATTCCCAACCACCTAATTTGGGTCTTAGGTACCCCTGTATAGTATACATGTGTGTGACTTAAATTTTTAAAACTGTAATTTGATAAAAGCTATCATTTTTTATTAAATGAAATGATTAACATTTTATATTAATGGAGTTGATAAAATGGAAAGTAATTTAACTTAAATATAAATCATTTTATAATTTACTATACTCAGAATTTTATTTTTAAAATTAATAATGATTATAATCTAACAATAGTACTTCTTATACCCAGGTGACCAGTGTATACGTATCTAATTGCTTTACATTGGCAATGATTATCATAGCGTTGGACGAATATCAAGTGGTGGTCAACCTTCTAACAGTCCGATTAAATTCGATTGATTAAACACATTATGGTTATAATCATTTGGTTTTTAGAGGGTGCGCTATCTATACCGCACATTTTGTTCAACCGATCGGTACCCCTGTATACCTATCGGACAATATACTGGTGCCGTACGGTATACCCGGGGCACCAGCTATTCTACCGGCAATTGTTAACAATTGTTACTTTTGCGACACAATATATCGGAAATACATTGTATGTCTATAACAATAGTCACGCATATCTCGTTAAAAATATTTAGTAATTTATGTGTGAACACCAAATTAATTATTATATATCACATAATTAAGTGTATAATTAAATTAATAAAACTTGGCTGGTCAAGAAGTCCGATAAATGCTATAGTTAAGTTTAAGTGAATTATTTATTTTAGATTAATAGATTTATTTACAGTTTTTGTGTAATATTGATAGCATATTGTTCATTTATATTTATATAATATAAAAAATTATGACAATAAGCTATAATCTGCTGAAAAGCTGCCCATTGGTGTAAATATTGTTAAAATTATATAGGATTGTATTTAGCCCACTGTCTTACCAGTCACTATCACCAGGCTCATTTTAGATGATTGGTCGTTTGGTAGTTGGTTGTGCATATTAGCGCCGTTTGTTCAGGTCTTTGAAGTATTAAATAATTATGGTGATGAATAATGTTTTGTTCTTATTAAAAATTAAGATATTGTAGTTATGTGTTTTTCAAATTACCTGACCTTTTAAATATGATTGCTAATCATTAATAATGGAATATTGTTTACAATATCTTTCTGTTTTATATTTAATTTTAATGTTTTAACTGTAACTATAAATTTATAACTAGATATTACTTTTAGATTTATGGTCTATTTTAATTTTTGGAAAATATGACCCTAACGAACAATATATTGTTTGATGTTTTAAATTATTGAGATGTTTTTACTAATTTATCAAATTAAATAACAAGATTATAAATATATTTATATATAATTGATACTATATTATTGATTCAACAATCTACAAATATAAATGCCAATATAATTGTAAACAGTAATTGTTTTGTTTTCTATAATGTAAAACTAATAATTAGTATTATTCAGATAATGGCAATAGATATGATTGAGAACAAGCTGTAATTATGATGAAATTTATACATAATCCTAATCAAACATTATGTAATATGTTATATTTGGCTATTGTTTTAATATGTTTTTATTTATTAATTATTATTTTAATTATTACTTTTAAATTACAAAATAAAAGTATAATATCTATAGATAAATATATAAATAGCTTTTTAAAAATATAAATTGTGAATTATTGAACAATTATAATGCTTAAACAAACATTGTTATCTAAACATCATTAATTAAAGATATTATTAAATCTACTCGCCATAACAATTATTATGCACCTCGTTCAATTCATCAACTAACGCATTAACCTTTAGTAAAATATCATCTAAATAGATATATTAATAATTTATAACTAATACAAATAATTAAGTAAACAATATAAAGAAATTATTCTTATAAAAAACTAACCAATATCATCAGCCAGGTGAGGCCCGTAAACATCTCTATCCAACCTGTCAGCCATATCGACAATGACCATGTTGAGAAACTCATTCTCGCCAGCGGTTGCCATCACCTGACCTGACAAATGGCCAGACATAGCCTCCAATACACGGGACTGTTGGTCAACGATAGCCGCTATGTGTTGGTAACGCTGATCGCTGTGGCGCCGGGCGGTTATGCTATCATCACGTATCTTGTCTAACATGAAGGTAATATTGTCCATACGGTCGGTAATAATAGTAAGTTCCCGACGCACCCCCTCCTCGTACGCCTCCCGGAGTCCAGTTATCTCGGCGTTCAATTCGCGTACTTCTGCTGTATATAATTATTTTAGATAAATGATGGGTTGATTTTTAATACTATGCTAATTTTTAAAATTTGATTTAGTTATTATACATGTGTGCCTTAAATTTTTTAAACTGTAATTTGTACAATGCTGTCTTTTTTTATTAAATGAAATATCAACATTCTACATTATTGGAGCATGTGAGATGGAGGATTATTTGTTTTAAATATAAGTAATATTATAGTTTACTATAGTCAAAATTTTTATTTTTATAATTTTTGGTTTAAAAGTAATAATGTTTATTATCTAACAATAATATTTATTATACAAAAGTTACCAGTGTATACGTTTCTAAATTATAAGTATCCACGATAATCATAGTATTTGAGATATATATCAATTAGTGGACTATATAAATAATTTGTTTAAAGCATACATAAATGATTAAACAATTATTTAATTAATATATTAATGGCTTACATTCAAAACGTGTAATTTTATTCACGGAGTCGATCGCACTGCTGGACACCCGGCGCTGAATATCGCACAAACTGGCGCTAATAGACTTTAATGGCAATTCCCTCACAATGTCTGTCCCTCCCCGGCCCTCATTTTCCCGGTCCCGACCCTCGGTGTTGATCGGGGTAGGCTTGAAATCAGCCGTATCGGTACACTTGTCCGCTGTATTGATTATGTACAAATTAATTGTTGATCCAGGTAATTTTTCTGGAGTATGTGATGGCAAACTTGATGACTGTGTTTCAATTAGCTCTAGTGATTGATATTTAGACTTTTTGCGAAAAATGTTACCCATTTATTACCTAGTTGTTTTATTTCAATTATAATTTATTCTATCAAATATTAATTTTTTAACATTGACAATAATAATATAATTTTACCCTTTATATAAACCTTTATAAATTAATTATCTAATTTGTAGCTTACTTAATTGTTAAATTGAAAAACTAGAAAATATAAAAGTTATATTATAAGGTTTATAATTATAATAATAAAGGTGTGAATTAAATTGCCATTGAAATAAAATATGTAATTTATATTATATTAAATATCAATTGTAAATATGTGAAAAATATTTATTAAAATTAACTTTTTATTATAAGTATTAAACTAGATTACATCCATATAATATTTCATTTAATTTGACTCTCTCTCTCTCTCTCTCTCTCTCTCTCTCTGTTCACTCGCACACTCTGTTGTATGCAATAATAAACACATCTATAAAACAATTTACAAATAAAATAAGTAAAATATATCATAATTAATAAACCATAATAAACATAAACAACAGAATTTTTATTAAACTAGCTTAAGAAAATAAAAAATTGCATGTGTCAAAATAAAATACACGTGTCTCAATCAATTTCCACGCGGTGTTTGTCCACGTTCTTCAGGGCTTTGCACAATAGCAGGTGCAGCGAACGGACAGGTGGGTCGACTGTAGGTAAGTGTGACCAATCGCACGATGTACTAGGTGTGTGCCCGTTCAGCGCTATGTACTTGCGATATATGAATAGCCACTCTTTTAATGCCTCACGCGCCGCATCTCCCGTCACAATGACTTTGATTTCGTTGTTAAATTTGATCAAAAAACTGGCCATGGTAAAAACATGGTATATGTCATATATTAATCATAGGTCAATATGATTATAAGTAGTTTATTTAAATTTGCTACTTGAATTTGCTGACAAAATAGATACCTAGCTCATTTTGCCGCTTTATGTTCACTAATTATAAATGTATCATTTTTGTTTTCTTTAACTAACATAACTTTTTAAACTAATATAACTTACCATAGTATATCGCCAATCTTATATTTGCCCTCCGAGTTGGCCACGTCGACCAGCGCGTTGGTCAACCTTTCCCGGGGCAGTTTGAACTCGCTGTTTTTCTCATTAAACTGCCTGTACACTGCCATCAACTCCTCGTTTTCACCATATTTCAATTTGTCACAAATAGTTACGTATTCGCTGTCACTGTATTTCATGAACTTGAGGAATTGAGCGGCCAATGGGCTCGTTCCGTATAGTTCCATCAGTATTTTAAAACCCATATTCTTATTTTTCTTAATGCTACATTTAATTCAACATGTTAGTTTAAACAGTTTCGGTATACTTAGCTTAATCAGTTAGTAATCAAAAAATATAATTAACATATTATAAATATAATATTATATAATAAACATACAACGATGTGTAACTTATAAAAACATATATTTAAATATAATTGTGCAAGGGTACTTAACGAGTGGCATGTTTCGTTTACTTTTTCCGGCGTGTCAATATGCGGATAATCTGGGTCGCCAAATCCCACCATTGGTCTCAGCAAAGTGTCCAGTACACTCTCGCTTAACATGTTTAAGCTTGATAATCCTATTGTTTTAACTATTTAAGGAATTAATTTGATCAATTTAGTATAAATAAAAAATATGCTATTTGTTATATAATAATTAGTTTTAATATAAAACCACTAAGTTTACAAAATTATCTAGCTTAATATTTATTTACCATGTTTTGAGCTAGAGTCTTTACCAGTCAATTTATCTATGTTCACCAACGCCTTGCAAATAAGTATCTGGATTGATTTCACGCTTGACTCTGGTCCGGATGAAAATGGTGACCAATCGCAATCTTTTACGGCGGTTGTACCGGCATTATTGGCGTAATAATGGTAAACATTTAGCCAATCTCTTAGCGCCTTTCGGGTCGACTCTCCCGGTAGAGCACCAACCGATGAGTTAACCCATTTAGTTATAAAACTAGCAAGATTGTTTTAAATATACCATTTTATTATTTAATTTAATAGATTTAATGTTTAATAATTATAATTATATGATAATACACTATATAATTAAAAACTAGCTTAAACTTACCATAACACATCAGGGTGACGTAACTTTGTATCAAGCTTAGCTGCGTCGGCCATGGCCGAGGTGAAACCATCGCGATACTCTTTCATGTCCGAATTCATCTCGTTAATCTCGCGATACAAGTGCATAATTTCCTGGTTGCGCCCGTATTTAGCCTTATCGCACAGTTGTTCGAACTCTTTTTCACCCGGGTTTTGCAGCACCTTGATAAACTTGGTGGCCAACTCACTGGAGCCATACAGTTCGAGCAGTTGCTTATTGTTAGCGCCCTTGCTATGTTTGTGACTATCATTTTGCATATTAATATAATGTTAATTTTTGTTTATTAATAGAGCATGGTGTTTTTTTGGGTACTAACGAATCACATAGCTGTTTTACTTTGTCCGTTTGATATGGCTGCGGGCTTTCCGGATCACCAAAACCCACAAATGATCTTAGTATTTTATCTAGTAGCTCCTCGTTGGCGCAAGTGATACAATAAGCTGGTATATGATAAGTAAATTGTACATGTATTTTAAAATAGTGAATTATGTTTACAAATATAATAAAATATTTATTTATTGGTTATTTTGTATACGCAATTTTGTGTTTACACAATATTATCATCTCAATTTAATATGTTTTAAAAATTTGGTTATTTACCTGAAATAGTAATAATAAAGATGTGAATTAAGCGCATTGTATAACAAATTTAAATAATTATTTAACTATTTATAATTAACCATGTAATAATTTAAAAGTATTTGTTTATACGGTGTGAATCAAATATGATTGAACACAACATAAAAATTATTTTAATTAATTACACATGTACATTAGGGTTTTATATTAAACATTTAATTATAAATATGGATGTTAGTAATTATACAAAAATCTAATTACATATAACTTAGTTTTAACCATTATATAATTTAACAATGTTTAGGATATTATTTTCTATAAACATAATTATATAATATGCTAAACAATTTATATAATTTTAAAACATTATTATACACTTATAAACTAAAGTCTTAGAAATTTATTATACACAAAAATATACTAAGTAAATTAAATAATCTTAAGTTAACTAATTTCTTTAAGACAATAAAATTTAAATAATAATAATACCAATAATACAAAATTAATCATAACAAATACAACTTGATAAAACTTTATATTTTTCATTAAAGTTTGTACATAAAAATTTATTTGGTTATATTAATAATATAATATAAGTTTTATTTCCATACCGCATAGTCTTTATATTTTAAACACGCAATGTTAATTAGTTAAATATAAATTAGTTAGTTGCCTAATATTTAATCTGAGTTGGTCGGTTTTTGTTTATTTATATACATTAAAAATTATATACAAATAAAAACATTAAAAATAATAAATTTAATAAACTTGCAATGTGGAGTTAAAAATATATTATTTGTATTGTAAAACAACTACAATTTTATTATTTAATAATAAATATTTACATGCTTTGCTGAATATTTTTTTTGTGTAATTAAACAATATAAATTTTATAATAAACTAAATACATAATTATTAAAACAATTACAGTTATATTTATTATTTTTCATAATTTTGTAAGTTAAACAACAATATCACGTTAACATGACAAACTCAAATGGTAATGGTAGATGTAAAAGATCTTGGTGGTTTTGGTGGCACAGGGGGTGGAGGGCCGGGCAGTCTAGACCTTTTAAACATGACACCCTTCACCATAGGAGGGGGTGGTAGTCTTGGAGGGGGTAATGCCGGCACTTGTGTCACGTCCCAGTTGTCTATCGCACAGGTGTCCACTATTTGCTCGTTAGCTAAACATAAACAACATTAATCATAATGTATAGCACATAATTTAATTTCCCATACGTTTAACATTGCGGCTTAACCTCTGACGCAATTCCCTGACCAACGGGTCAGCAGCCGAGT